TCCTTCGATGCGGAAACAAGACCATGATATTGCAAAAGGTTGTCTTTACATGTTTGAATAAATTCATCTAATGTGTAGAATAGGCCAGTGTCGATATATTCCATTAAAACGTTTATCACAAAAATAATCTATTATCGTAGAATTTGCCAAATCCACCAACCTTCATATTTCTGTTGTGCCAAAATGGAACTTTTTCTAATCTTCACGTGAAATATTTTATCATAGTATAAGTACTTACTGTTAAAAGATGCCATAACTTGAGAACATTTCTCCAAAATTCATATCTGCACTTCTTTACATATATACTGATATATGAATATTATTTAGATATTCAGTTCAGCAAATATTTTGAATGTCAAGTGTTTTGTAACTACTACCATAAAGACCTTTATAAAATGTTCTTTAGCGTTCTCTGAAGTTTCAAGCTTCGGTGGAGGTGGGGGGTGGGGGTGGGGGTGGGGGTGGGGGATGTGGGGGGTTAACATTATACATAAGAAACTGTTCTTCCTCGGAGTAAAGTTTCCAAGGATAACTGATAATTAATCGTAAATTGTAGTTCAGAATCAAGAATGTCTGCAATACTATTCCAAACATATACTGGTGCACACTATTGTTTTTTAATAGACCTAATACAAGTATTAACTATATTAAGGTATTCTAAATCTTGTAAAATGTGAATTATGCAGCTTCCAAGTCCCCTTTCCTCTTTTAAATTCATTTAACACAATTTTTCCACCTCCAGATATATCTCGTAATATCTTATATAATATGTAATATGCTGTTCTCTAAATGTATATACCAGACCATTATTATCAGTATTATCAAATACCCTGTCCTTGGCTATCGGATCATCTCCTTTTTATTAAATAAAAATTGCCCTAGTCGATATTCTGATTTAAAAACAAGGTTAAAATCTCCACAGACAATAAAGTAGGCATTATCAAAAATATTTTCTATATCAGAAATCTTATAATAAAAGTCTGGACAATCTTGGTTGAGACCATAAATATTTTCTATTTCGATAGCTAAAGGGTTCCTCGTAACAGCCTTCTTTTGTTTACGAATTTTGAATTCAAAATTATTATTTTTAAAAAATCGCCACCCGCCATGAGAATTTCCGCGATAGGTTGAGAAATAACGGACATATCATCATTCATTTCTAACAAGTTCTGCGGTATCTAGAATATATCTTATACACAGGACGGCTGTCAAGTAAACGAAAAAATAATGTCACTTATACTTGTTTTTATCGAATCTTCTCCGAATATCATATCAGTGTTACTAAAACATGATAAAAATAAACCCGATGTCCGGACCAATATTTCCGAAACCATGAAGTACATGTAACAGGCGTGTTTCAATAGTGAAACAAGTAACAAGCATATTGTTGCTGCTGTGGATGTAGGGAGTAAGACTACATCAAAATATTCCCCTACATATCAGACCTTTCATGATCAAAGGAAAAATCACACACACAATCTCTCTCTTAAAAAAAAACTTTGTTCAGACATTCTAAAAGAGTAATGTGCTCACTAACGTGTTAAATGTCATGGGTCGATACGAAATATGTCTCAAGAAAGATTTAAGTGTAATGAGATTGATAAATAAACACTAGAAACGATAAAGAGAACTGTAAAAATCATGTGCCATCAATAAATCAATAAATTAATAAATTGATAAATTAATAAATTGATAAATCCATAAATTAATAAATTGATAAGTATATAAAAAAGTACATAAGAAAAGCCTATGGAAAACAAAGCTAGCTACACAATTTAAAACACATGGATTCTAGATGAGACACTTTTATATATGTCAAGGTATATCACCAACAAGCAAAACCTCGTTATATTGTCATAATGTGTTCGAAAGGCTTAACATATAGCAATTCTGTTTAGTTATATTTATCGACAAAGGAAAAAACACTATGTACTATTCTACTCAAGTGAGTATTTTAAGTATGAAAAGGTATTCAACATTTGAAATCTAGAAAAGTTCACCTCTCACAAATTAAAGGACTAGTTTGAAAGTGTTAACTCAAAATGGTGACACTATGTCACGAGACAGATAAAGGAGTGGCATTATATCGAGGTTTTATTGTACATTAATCTAAAATGTTTTCAATCCAATTTTTATCACAAAAACCTCTCTATAAAGGTCCCTTTTCAATTCCCTTTTTTTTTCTTTTTAGATCTTTTAATGGGAGGGGATGATTTCAGCGCCTTTATAGATAGGTCTTAATGCATTTCGAAAGGTCAAAGGTAGCAATCCAAATATATACATTTGTATATATATTTCCTGTATAAGCTAGAGTCCATATAATGTACTGCCATACCTGCCTAAAAGACCACCTGTGTATAACGATAACGTGATTACACACTAAAAGCCCAAAGTTGTCTCGAGACCCAAAGTAAAAACAAATCATTATATGTGAACCTCTGTATAAAGGTCACTGCCAATAAAGGCCACTTTTCTCTTTTCCCTTAGTGATATTTATAGACAGGTTCGAACGAGTGAGTATGTACGTGTAGGTTATGGCATCGCATTCAAGGCGTTTATAACACACTGCGTCATACGTCGGTATGCAATATGTGAGAGACAATTGATCTGATTGGTTGATCATGTGTGTGGCATGTAAGTAAAAGAACTGTCTTGATTGGTAGAAGAAAGATATATAAGACTGACAACTGATCTGATTGGAAGTTTAAGTTAACGTGAGTATGCCTAAAACTAACCCTCTGGCAATAGTGTTTTCCCTTGTGTAGTCGTTTTCGGAGATGGTAAATTGAGTTTTGAAAAAAAATTGAAAGACATTCTTTCGAAAAATACATTTATATAATAACCACAGGTATTGCTTTTCAGCAATCGGCACCTTTGATATCTCCACAAAATCCCATGGCTGTAAAATTACTTTTGTGTTCATATGCCCAATTTACTGAAAAACTGTCAGTTATATTTACCGCTTCACTTGGATAAGCTCTTGCTGTGCAGATATCTGGATTGCTACCATTCCACAACATTTAAAACATGTACGAGCTCATCCTGTCAGCAAAAGCTATAGGCGGGAGCCGTTTCAGTCTGTTTTTTATCATGATATATTTTTATCCGTTAGCAATCTAAAAATAATCTGATTTTTATAAGAGTAACCTCCCTTCCCTTGTGTTTGACTAAATAAAGACATGGATGAGCTCTCATGACAGGGAAACCACCTCGGTTGTGAAATGTCCATGTATATCCTGTGCCTTCATGAGGTGTTTAGTGTAGCGACTTCAAGTTCAGTTGCGTTTAATTTCAAATGCTGGTGAAATTTTAAATTTGTCTAGCTGGAAACACTGTGGTATACTTATAGCATCCGTGGTATATAGCGATTTTGTGTAATCACACTTCCGGTGTCTAATCTGATGACCTACCTACATGTACGTTATACTGTACAAGTGTTGTCAAGTCTCGTTTGATGACGAACATACATGTACGTTATACTGTACAGGTGTTGTCAAGTCTCGTCTGATGACCTACCTACATGTACATTATACTGTACAGGTGTTGTCAAGTCTCGTTTGATGACGTACATACATGTACGTTATACTGTACAGGTGTTGTCAAGTCTCGTCTTATGACCTACCTACATGTACATTATACTGTACAGGTGTTGTCAAGTCTCGTTTGATGACGTACATACATGTATGTTATACTGTACAGGTCTTACGAAGTCTCGTTTGATTACGTACTTATATGTACGTAATACTGTACAGGTGTTGTCTGATGACCTACCTACATGTACGTTATACCGTACAGGTGTTGTCAAGTCTCGTCTTATGACCTACCTACATGTACGTTAAACTGTACAGGTGTTGTCAAGTCTCGTCTGATGACCTACCTACATGTATGTTATACTGTACAGGTGTTGTCAAGTCTCGTCTGATGACCTACCTACATGTATGTTATACTGTACAGGTGTTGTCAAGTCTCGTCTGATGACGTACCTACATGTACATTATACTGTACAGGTGTTGTCAAGTCTCGTTTGATGACCTACCTACATGTACGTTATACAGTACAGGTGTTGTCAAGTCTCGTTTGATTACGTACCTACATTTACGTTATACCGTACAGGTGTTGTCAAGTCTCGTCTGATGACCTACCTACATGTACGTTATACTGTACAGGTGTTGTCAAGTCCCGTCTGATAACGTACCTACATGTACATTATACTGTACAGGTGTTGCCAAGTCTCGTCTGATGACCTACCTACATGTATGTTATACTGTACAGGTCTTGTCAAGTCTCGTTTGATGACCTACCTACATGTACGTTATACAGTACAGGTGTTGTCAAGTCTCGTCTGATGACCTACCTACATGTACGTTATACTGTACAGGTGTTGTCACGTCTCGTTTGATGACCTACCTACATGTACCTTATACTGTACAGGTGTTGTCACGTCTCGTTTGATGACCTACCTACATGTACGTTATACCGTACAGGTGTTGTCAAGTCTCGTTTGATTACGTACCTACATTTACGTTATACTGTACAGGTGTTGTCAAGTCTCGTCTGATGACCTACCTACATGTACGTTATACTGTACAGGTGTTGTCAAGTCCCGTCTGATAACGTACCTACATGTACATTATACTGTACAGGTGTTGCCAATTCTCGTCTGATGACCTACCTACATGTACGTTAAACTGTACAGGTGTTGCCAAGTCTCGTTTGATGACCTACCTACATGTACGTTAAACTGTACAGGTGTTGTCAAGTCTCGTCTGATGACCTACCTACATGTACGTTAAACTGTACAGGTGTTGTCAAGTCTCGTCTGATAACGTACCTACAATTTAGTACGGAGCTGTACAAGTCTTTACTAGAATGACGTACCCAAATTATGGTGAAAAAAATTTTCGTCTGGAAAACATTTTGTATACTTAAGTGCATAACATGGGCATTTCACAACCGATTTGGTTAACTTACCAGTGTACGGGAAGAAGTGTAAGACTTACCTCGGAGTCATTCTGACTAGTAGCGGGTTGTGATTGCACTGTTCCTTGGTTAGAATTGTAGTGTACTGCTACGTTACATTGTTGCTGTGAGGGTACAATCCCACTAGCTGGTAGGGACGGGGGGTAACCTGGCTGCTGCCCCGCCGTTATCATGTAAGTAGGGGCCGTAACTTCGGGCCCGCGGGGCTGAGGTGAGTAAAAGTTTATGCCGCTATCGCGGGCTTGCATACTAATAACTTGAGTCTTTGGTAAGAACGAGTATTGTCCAATTTGTTGCCTTGCTCCACAACTGTGACATGTAATAACGGGTACATGTCCTGGGGGGATGGGAATAGAGGTTGGGCCATCTGTGTCCGTTGTCGACGGTACAGACCCTGCAGTCCCGGAAGTGACGTTTGTGAATGATGTGCCGCCCATGTTTGAAGACGCAGCGACCGTGCTTGCAGGAAAAGCTCCAAACTGACCAAAATTCCGATTCTGTGGATCTGGTGTCGGTGTACTTCCGCCGATCTCACCGAGGAGGGGCGTTGACGCAGGGGTGTCGCCACTATCGTCTGTGGCACTAGTAGGGCCACTTATCTGAAGTCCTTGGGCCTCCTCATAGGATGGAGGAGGAGGCAGTGCACCTAATAATAACATAAACAAATATTTATTTTTTTTATTTGCTTAGTTTTTTTTAATCATTCAATCTTTTGTTGTCTTGATAAAGGGGCAGATCGCTTTGAAAATTTGTGTAAGATTTTCGTCCACACTTTTGATATTCCAGCTCTGTTATGTAACTATTACAGCGATCTAACGAATCGTGGTAAGTTGAGATCAAATGTCCGTATCTGATTTATACAGCGTCGAAATTACTTACCAGAACCTAATTGTTTGTTTGGGAGCTGACTAACTGCCGCATAGCGACCAATTAATAATCGTGTTCCACATCAACATTCAGGCGAATGTCAAACAAATTATTAGAAAAGTTCACGAAATTTAATATATATCATGGCCTCAGATGTAACATCATATTACTCATAAATACAGGAAAATAAAAAAATAAAATGTATTGCACTCAACGACATGTGAATTTTCGAGTCCGAAAATGCCCCATGCATCATATATATGTATAACGTCTAGAGTTGACATCATATACATATATAATGTCACACGTTTACATCATATACATATATATTGTCCCACGTTTACAACATATACATGTATAATGTCTGACGTTTACATCATATACATATATAATGTCCCACGTTGACATTATATACATATATAATGTCCCACGTTGACATCATATACATATATAATGTCACACGTTTACATCATATACATGTGTAATGTCACACGTTGACATTATATACATGTATAATAGATCACGTTTACATCATATACATATATAATGTCTCACGTGTACATCATATACATGTATAATGTCACACGTTGACATCATATACATGTATAATGTCACACGTTTACATCATATACATGTATAATGTCTGACGTTGACATCATATACATGTATAATGTCCCACGTGTACATCATATACATGTATAATGTCACACGTTTACATCATATACATGTATAATGTCACACGTTTACATCATATACATGTATAATGTCCCACGTGTGACATCATATACATGTATAATGTCACACGTTTACATCATATACATGTATAATGTCACACGTTTACATCATATACATGTATAATGTCCCACGTTTACATCATATACATGTATAATGTCCCACGTTTACATCATATACATGTATAATGTCCCACGTTTACATCATATACATGTATAATGTCCCACGTTTACATCATATACATGTATAATGTCCCACGTTTACATCATATACATGTATAATGTCCCACGTTTACATCATATACATGTATAATGTCACACGTTTACATCATATACATGTATAATGTCTGACGTTTACACCATATACATGTATAATGTCCCACGTGTGCATCATATACATGTATAATGTCACACGTTTACATCATATACATGTATAATGTCACACGTTTACATCATATACATGTATAATGTCCCACGTTTACATCATATACATGTATAATGTCACACGTTTACATCATATACATGTATAATGTCCCACGTTTACATCATATACATGTATAATGTCCCACGTGTACATCATATACATGTATATTGTCCCACGTTTACATATACATATATAATGTCTCACGTTTACATATACATATATAATGTCTCACGTTCATAGTATCTACATATACAATACCTCAAGATATAATGAAACCTACATATAACACCTCTAGTGTACGAGTAAAACCTCGATACCATATCATAGTTTATATTACTTTGTAAAACTCGAGGTACCCCCTCGGTCATATTATATTAAAAAACTTGAAAAAAATGTTATGATCATAAAAATGAAATATTCCTTCATATCTTAATGTAACTCAATAACTTAAAACAAATATTTACTGTGTTTACTTATTTATATAATTGACGTGACATATCAGTCTTTTGGACGACGAGTTTTCTTTATTACGGGTGCTGTTTACACAACACAGACACAATTCTGCAATCCTGTCCCATTTTACATGTGAAACAATATCTCTCGTTATATCTCATTACGTTCGTATTGATTTAATATCGGATTATTTATTCGAAAAAAATTCAATATATTAATTTACCAATTGTCCCTTTACAGAAAATTTAAGGTAATGGCAATAATAAATTGATAAATCAAAATTCCCCCTCGCACACACACACACACACACACATACACACACACACACACACGCACGCATGCACATACACTCAGTCTACTCCTCATCACACACTTCCCCACACCATACATTCTTTCAATAAGGCCGTTTACCGCACGATAAACAACATTTTGCTATCATAATCAGTATATTACGAAACAGTATATCTGCAAATGTAGAAGCCATTTTAGATCACTTTCATCTGCTTTAGTAATCTATTTTACATCCATTTGCTTGTTTCAACACGTCCACGTCCCCCAGATACCCCCAGGGGACCCGAGTCACAGAGCACACCACTGACCACGCCACGAAACTGAACTTGACAATGGCAGCTGCACGTTGTATTTGCTTTGCCTTATGTTCCTTTGCCAAAAAAAACCCCATTAAAATACACTGAAATATGCTAGAACTGTGCGTGATGGTACAACGGTTTTCTGTGTGTTGCTGATAAAGCCACTCCTATAGAACGATACACGAACGCTGATCGCTATTATAATGACTGTATGAGTGTGTAAGCGTGTGTGGTGGTCTTACCTTGTCTGTCCATGTTTACTACACACAAAACGTAGCAGTTACACCTGAAGATTGCTTATTTATCACACCTGGCAAACTCCCTCATGGCTCACATGTTCGGGTGCTATTTAAAAAACCTGTACATGTTGGTCGAATCGTCTTAATCGAAATGGTAATCAATTCGACCTTCCTCAGATAAGTACGGCTACTACTACTGCTGCTGACGCTGAGAGCAGGGGAGATCACTCTAACGAACAATGTATCGATTAGCGAGGTCGTCAAGCACGTTTTTAGCTTCGATCGATTTTCATCGCTGGTGCATGGAATAAAGAATGCGATTTACGAATTTATACCGGTATCCCTACAATCTATTGTATTATATTCTGCTACAGGCTGTAACACGTTAAAAATAAACGTTGTGGTGGTGCGAGATGAGCAACGATCGAGATTTTATAAATGTGATGTCGATTTGTTGATTAATGTGGTAATTCTTATAAAGAATATATATATATATTATTGATTTCATGAAATATCTGAGTTTAATCGTTTTGTTTTCTTATAACATTTTTTTTTCTTTTTCTCCATAGGTTTTTTTTCGAAATTTCCCACAAAATGAATTACATACCAAAGACAATTACACGTTTGATGAATTCAGTTGGAAGAAAAATTACATGTACATTCAATATTGAATATTTAGTCATACCATTTGAGTGCTAATACATGTATATTACAATGGTATCATTAATCCAATATTAAGCACAAAAACAGAATAAAAAATTCGACGTGTAAGTATTTATTCGCTCCTAAATGAGACGATTGTTATCCAGCCATCGTCCTAAGACGATACACGCCTTCTCTTCAATGGGTCATGTCTATCGTTTTTTTCTATTTTTGTAAGACTTTGCCGTGAAACCCAGTGGTATACCCAATTTGCCTTTAGTGATTCGCCAGGATGGATTTTTGATAAATTCCTAAAGTCCTGCAATTAACATTAATCAAATCCTTGATAACTGCGTTTATCACATATTGCGATATTCAGTGAATATGTGATTTCTTAATGTTAGGTTTACACATTGGAATAACTTCAATTACTTATACAGATTGAATTTCACTTAACGATCACGATCATAGATAAAAAAAAAACTCTGACGAGACAACAAATTTGCCTGAAAAATCAATCACGTGTTAAACAGGATCTCGAATTCGTTTCCATTTCACATGGTCTTACATTCATTTCATAAATCACTTATCAATTTCAAACTCGTTGAAGATCTTATATAATCAAATGTGAATGCACTAGAATGAGAGAAATAAATTTGATCTCGTATCGAGAAATATCTATCATATATCATTGTATGTTTTTATTCATCTTTCTTGTTCTTGGAAGAATTTAATCTGACCAAGAACACTTGAAGTGGGAGGGGGGAGGCGGCTAAACAAGCGTACATATTTAGCTGATAAATTATTTACAGAAAGCGGACCAGACAGTCTAGATTAAATTCAGTTATATATAGTTTTGCATTGTCTTTCCAGGCTGGCGCGTACTGATTTTAAGACCTCTGCATGGCATTTGACATTGATTGAGCGAATCAAGAATAAATACAGCCAGCTGGAACTCTTTCTTTTAAAGGCATGACGTAAAATAGGTTAAGGACATATACTGGTAATCCACATTTCAACCGAACATTTTGCGTCAAAACAAGAACCACTATTTTGGGTGTGGGGATATGTTGCAACTTGTTATTCAAGCTCAGTCTAGCTATTTTAATCAGTTGGAAAATATCATCCATTGCTGTTTCACATCTCCGCCGAACAGTTTGTGTGATGTTGCATTATGGGAAGGCAGCGTCAATACAGGAACGGCTATTTTTGGGTGTTGAGGTATTCATGAAGCTCATTTTCAAGTTCAGTCAAACCATTTTCGTCACTCCCGAAATATCATTTAGTGGTAATCACATATGCCCTGTTATATTAGCATTTACAAGTCTATCTACTTTTAAGTTGTTTTTAATTATTTTGGCATCAATTTAGTTTAGCCCTCAATAGCCTTACAGTGTATCTTATGTTTAACATGTAAATAACCAAAAATGTATAGAGTTTCTATTGAAGGGGCACTTTCTATTAGTTTGGAAACTTTCTTAAATGACAACATTCTACATAACTTCTTAGCCCGGTTTTCCTTTCACATGTCAAATAATATGTAGACGTCACCGTTTCCATAGCATGTAACTATAAAAACAACAGAGAGCAGTATCTGTCTGACCCGACGATTAACAGTACAACAAATTATAAACCGCAAGTATGTTAAGAGACCTAAGGACAAGTAGTAAAGGACGGTTGTTACAGATGTCACACTCAAAAAGGATTTAGATATCATAATAATAGATGCAAAACTGTAAACTTAAAATGCTTGGACCAATATGATATTTGAAGTTGTATCTTATTTTTACTAACACAATAATAGTCAAATGTTTGTCACACGGTATACCTTATCTGGGCAAAAACACACAATGATAGTCAAAGGTTTGTCACACGCTATACCTTATCTGGGCAAAAACACACAATAATAGTCAAATGTTTGTCACACGCTTTTCTGGACAAAAACACACAATAATAGTCAAATGTTTGTCACACGCTTTTCTGGGCATTTTCCTTGTTTCCCTCTAGCCATGTATACCATCCGTCGTTTTTTTTTTATTTTGCACCTTGGTGATACAATTTGAAATCATTTGAACTTTCTACAAAAAATTGTCAATTTTATCAGACAAGCTTTTCCTTTAAAAAAAAAAAAAACGATCTTTTCCACAGGTTTGTTTTCCGGTTATCCCTTCGTTCATTTCCGGATCAACTTCCTTAGTCAAAAGCTTGATTTCCGACACATTTCCTGTTAATGTATTTAAATATAAATGTTATATATCTTATGTTGGGAAATTTAAAACCGTATTTGACAATCCGTTTTTGCAACTTTTCTTCATCATATATGTGTAGGTATGTTATTTCCATAAACAGGAGTTTGTCCTTTCAAAATGGTATACGCTTGTTCCAGAAAACTATACCATGTAACAAATGTAACCATGTATTCGATAACTTCGCCCCTTGACGCTGTAATGAATATGATATCAAATTCAGAGCAGAGTATGCAATGTGACTTAATATATTAACATAGAGCAATATTAATACTACCCTATAGATCCACAAATCAACTGTCGAATTCTTTAAATCTCTGTACAGAAATGTACTATTTTGATACATCTTAATTAATTTTCCTGTCAAACTATGTATTCGCAAACTTTTCAAATGATTAGAATATTGAAATCGTGTTACTGTATTATTTCATTCCATGGGTGTTTAAATCTGAATATTAAGACTGACAACCATTCAGCTCAAGTTATAATGAAAGAATATACATAATATGTTTCAAATTCATATATCCTTGCTGTTAATGAAACATCTATAATCCAACTCATCTTGGAGAATTTCGATGTTCTGAAATCGTGGCTACAGGTAACCGACGGTATGATTGTGGATATTGGTTTCAGGGACATCTGAAATGTTCCTGATGAGCTAGGACATGATGATAGAATGCCGTTGTTTGAACCAGCTGGAAAATCACAATTGGACTCTCAAACAGCCACTAGCAATCGCTATTGTGCCAAAAACACGATGGGTTGTAGAGTTCTAATATGGACGTCTAAATAACTGGGTACTTATCAAGGATCAACCTCCATCATATTACTTCAATGAGATCATTGGAAAGTTGGTTCGCATTGAAAATACATGTCTGAATGCCTCCATAGGACCCACATATGTTTCAGACCCACTTCAAGTAGAACGAGATTCTAAAATTGCTCAATGAATGCTTTTGCTCCTACGAAAAGACAAGGTTTTGGCATAGCAAGTTGGCGACGACTATAACCTGGCACGCTAAAATAAATGTCAGAACCTTGAAGCTTCTGATATCTCATTCTCTTCTGCGGATCTGGAATACCTTTATCACATCATAAACGATACGTTCCAAATCAAGCAGTCACCTGGTTACATTGTGGAACACCACACAGATAACGGTGATTATGAGATTTAAGTTTACTAGCACGAAGATGATCTCATTCGAGGACAGATTCATTCTGGTCACAATTTTCAAACAAAGTACAATGTTTGGATTCAATTTGACGAGAATGAATCTGACGATCCTGTGAAGGCATACTTTTGTTTATGTCCCGCAGGAAAGAGATTATATGTGTTACCACGTTGCATCAAAAGTATATTACTTGGGGCATCATGTGCATTTGGAACATCCTAAACCATTGCAACCACACAGATTCTATTTTATGAAATGTCTGCAATTGTCGCGATGAAAGAAAGAGAAAATAAGTACCAAAAATTTGAATTGACAAAAGTAATTAACATTTGTGAATTATTATCGTTTTATGCCTGAAGTATGGCAACAATCATTATCAGATATTATTTTGGATTATAAATTTATAGTTTTAAAAAGTCAGTGTCTTAGCACATATGTGTAATAGCCATGCCGTTAGTTTCTGTTCAATAATGAAAAGAAAAACATGCTGATAAAATTCAATATATTTCAATGATTCTTCCATCACAAGAAAATCTGCCGCTGAAACAATTTTACCGGTCCCGAAATCTGATGGAATTTTCACTTCTTTTAGTACATGTATGTGGCCAAAAATATGATTTTGTTGATGTTATAATATAGGTTTGTTTTTTATGTTCCAATTTTTGGTTGTATTTTACACTCCATCTTTTTGTGACTCTCATGCTCCGTCGTTTTGGCTTTATTAAAATTATGATATTGTTTATGTTAAAAATATGATTTATAACATGGTTGACATTGTTGTTACCATGTCTACCATGTTATCCGTAATTTTATAAAATGTTGTTACTGGATATATTTCTTTCTTTCTTGTTATTGATATACAATATACCAAAAACAAAGCTAAAGTAGTGACTCTATTATCGCGATGGAAATTATAACACAAATCTCAGATTGGTACTGTTATTTATTCACTAAAGCAGATCAATAAAAACAGACATCTCGGAGAGGCATCGGCATGAGATCGTGACGGGAGACTCATCCGAACCTGTCAGTAAGTTTCTTTTAAATGGAGATTGGGAATTTTGAATTAATCTCTATATTATTATCCAGTTAAGGTAGGAAACAATGCCATGTGACATGATTTTATTTGGTTGTGA